TTCCTTCCCCCTCCCCAGTCACTCTCCCCACCATTGTCCATGTCCTTGGGTTGTGCATATATGCACATAAATTCTTCATTACCAACATTCTTAAGTAAAACTGGCTTTTTTTCCTTCCTTCACTCATAGTAGAAATAAGACTGCTAATAAAGTTTGGTTCCACTGCCTTGATTTGTGTTCAGGTGCAAGCAGATATGTTGTATTATTATAAAAATAGTTTTTACCCTCATGGGGTCCACAGACCACACTTTGAAAACCTTTGCTTTAAAAGATTAGAACATTAAAAAACACACAACTAACCATGGTACCTCCTTAATATTATTAAATATGCGGTGTTCAAATTTCCCTATTCATTGCATAATTTTTAAAAAGGTTTGTTGGTTTTAATCAGGTCCATGCTTTGCAATTGATACGTCTCTTAAGTTTTTAAAATTTATAGGCTGCTCTCCACCTTTTTTTCCCTTGCAATTTATTTGTTGAAGAAACTGGTTTTTCCTGGAGGGTTTCTCACAGTCTGGAATTTGCTGTTTGAATTGCATTCCTTTGCAGTCAGGATCATTGCATTCCTGGGCTGTGTGTCGTGCTTTTCTTGTAATTAGCTGGTTAGATCTAGAGGCTTGATGAAGTGGTGGGGTTGTGTTCTTTCACAATAATACTTCATAGGTGATACTGTATACTTCCAGTATCTGGTTGTCTCTCTTTTGATGTTAGCAGCTATTAATGATCATTACCTAAATGATCATTAATTAAATAGGGATTGCAAACTGATGAGATTCTAATTTTATTCCTTTTTCATTCATTAGCTGAAATACTTTTATAGAACAGAAGCTTTGTTTCCTCTACTGGTTACTGCTGACATAGTTCATATAGTAAAGGCAGGATAAATGCTCGATTCTTCCCTTTATTTACCAGTTTATGAATTGGTTATCTAACATCCTTCAAAGTTGACCAGTGGTTTGTTTTTTGGTAATAACATTAGAAACTCAACTGATTTTATGTTTTTTTTATATTAGGAATGTTAAGGAAGCCATCACCATCCACCTGTCTAGCCATCTGGACAATGCATTTTATTTTACTTCCATGCAGGGGGAACCTGTCATTCATTTGTTCCTTCCACCCCTTTTGTCAGCATGCATTTATCATTTCAGGCTTGATTGCCTGGGAGACTCACTCATGGAGAAGCTACTTTATTTAGATCAAATTTTGTTATTCATTTTTGAATATAAAGTTCAGCTCTAGTAAGTTAAATGATAGCATGATGAGACTTTACTCTGTATCTCATTGTATTTTTATGAGCAGAACTATATGTTATACATGAGAGTCTAATGTGCTTATTCTGTTTGGGGACCTTCTAATGCACGTAGACTTCTCCCCTTCCCCCATGCAGTGAGACTGCTAAGATATACAGGTTAGAGTCTAGTTCTCCTTTCTAATGTCATTCTTGACCTTTGCCATAGTCAAGGTGGTGCTGATATAGGAAATAATACAAAATAACCTGTTGACTTTGCCCTAACAGTGATGGTGGCCTGCGTTTTGGAGAAATGGAACGAGATTGTCAGATTGCCCATGGGGCAGCCCAGTTTTTAAGAGAAAGGTTGTTTGAGGCATCAGATCCCTATCAGGTTCATGTTTGCAATCTTTGTGGAATAATGGCAATTGCTAACACCAGGACCCATACGTATGAATGCAGGGGCTGTCGGAATAAAACCCAGGTGCGTATAGACCTTCTTGGCAGTTGATAGGTGTTTAGGATATAACTGTATTGGTCCAATCACCCAGGCAGATTGAGTGTGATGGAACAGATTGGCATTTTTATAATTTTGAATAGCACATCTCTATAAGATTCCTAGTTTTAAATGAGGAAAAAATTTGGTTTTTCTAAAAATCACTTTAGATTTTACTGTGATAGTGTCTCTAAGCTGCTCATCTTTTCGAAAGAACCTTGTACAAGGAATTTTAAAAAGTGAGTTTTTAAAAAACCTTTTACTCAAGAAGGGTGAACATAAATTATGTCTGGCAGAAAGGGTGAAATACCAAAACCTATTAGGAGAAAGAGCCACCAAAGGCCAAGTTAGTAGGATGAGTGATATCAGCCTTCTCATATGTTCATCATTTCCAGTACCAAGTCTTTACCTTTTTCTTGGGGTAGGGAAGTAGGCTCATTTCAGTTCAACTTTGCTAATTACTTTTTTTTTTTTTCCTTTCAGATTTCTTTGGTGCGAATGCCTTATGCGTGCAAACTGTTGTTTCAGGAGCTTATGTCTATGAGTATTGCACCTCGAATGATGAGTGTTTAACTCTTTCAAAAGGTTCTTAAGATACTTATAAATATCTTTTGTGTATTGTTTTTATGATATGGCTTTAAAAAAAATAACAAATATGTGCCACATTGTGAGAAAAAGCATTTTATTTGTTTTGTTTGATGATATGCGTGCTTTTCTTCTGTAAATAGGTAATAAATTTTTGTAGATAGTCTTGATGTGTTGTCTTTATTTTGTATTTCACTGTGTAAAATCAGTGAATATAACTAAGGTGTTAGTGGACTGGATGCAAAGAAACTGGTTATTAGACAAGAACAGGGTTGTAGTTACCCGTGACTATGTTTAGCTACACAGACTAATACATTCTTCAGGTTTATAGCTTGGCATCTTCACCTGTTTTAAAAAAAAGATTTAAAAAATTAGTTACTTTCTAATTTTAGGTAGTTTAGTGTTTCCAAATAAATGTTAAAATGTGGGGATAAAGGATTTTTAACTGTAAAAGTGACATATGGTAGAATGCTCTTTAGAATTTGAGCTATACAATTTTAGATGTGGAAGATGATTTTGTTGTATTGGTTTGTAAGAGATGAACCTCATTATAGACCTGGCAGAGCACATTTCACAAACGAGCAACTTCAGATCCAGAGGCTAAGGAACTTTCCTTTGTCATCCAGTTTTGATTGAAAATTTAAAGTGGAATAGTGAGTGGCAGAGCTGAGACTCAAATACATGACTCTTAGCTATTGCTCTGTTTGTTTCATCTCCTGGCTTTACACATCTTGGCTGGAGAATCTGATAAAACATCTTCTCTTGATATTTCTTTCTTTCATACCACAGCTGAGTGATCCACACAGAGGAATGGTCTAACAAATGCTGATAATAAATTTTGTTCTTTTTGGCTTAAGGGAAAACCAATCCAGACATCTCTCTAATAGAACTATATAAAGGAAAGTAGCGTTATTCCGACACCACCAGGATGGGTGCTTAAGAGGAAGCTTTGACAGGGGAGTAGATAGAGGCAGAGCAGAGTTGGGTACCTGCCAATCTACTCTCCTTCCTGGCTTTTTCTTATAAAAGGTCAAAGGGAAGGACCCACAATCATTTCCTTTTAAATAGGAATTTAATTTAATAGAACACCAAGGAAAAATGCCATGTAGATAGATAGGAAGTTACGGGAAATAGAAGCCATCCCAGTCAAGTCTGAGTTTTTGTCTCTCATGTATAAGAGAAGGTGAAAGCATCTGAGTTGTAATAATAGCATCCCATCAACCATCCGAATGTACTTCTGGAGCCATGGGCTCTACATTTTGATTACATACTTAATCCCCTGTGGTTTCCTAACTACAGAATTTCATTAAGAGCTGTTTGATACTTTCCTACTTGGTTCTGTTCTTTATTAAGCAGAAGCACTAGTCATTTGTAAGTGGTTGTGAGATTTAGTACCTACCTTTCTTCACTGGTATTTCATGTAAGCTTTCCACCACTGTAATTTTTGCTGATGCTGAAGCCTGTCCTTGGGAGTTGGATGCGTGGCACTCATATTCTCCAGCATCTTCCTTACTGAGAGGAGATAGCTGTGAAAGGAAAAGGGTCTTTAGTGCCCCTTTGCTGGTCCTGTCTTTGTCTAGTGGTTTCCTAAGATGACCAGGGGATTCACAGCAAAGATACTGCTAGAAATAGTGCAAGTCCTGTGCAAGGAGAATTACACAGCTCAGCGGCTGAGCATCAATGTAAGATCCAGGAGATTGAGGTTTGATTCCCGGTCAGGGCACATGCCCGGATTGCGGCTCGAGCACCAGTAGAGGATGTGCAGGAGGCAGTCGATCAGTGACTCATCATTGATGTTTCTATCTCTCTCTCCCTTCCTCTCTCTGAAATCAATAAAGACATATTTAAAACAAACAAACTGGAGAGGTGATATACCAGTTGGAGGAAGACCTTGATAGGATATATTATCTAAGTACTATCCATGAGTACCCACAGCTATGAAAGGTCAAGTAAAATAAAATAATCAGTAATAGACTAAAGTAATGCTTGGATCATCTCTGAGAACTTTGCTTTGAACTCTTAGAAAAAAAATTAGCTCTTGTACATTTGTTGGTCATTTCCAAGACATCCAGTCAACCTCGGCTGTTTTTCAGTTCCCTCTGAAAGAGGAGCAGCGGCTCCATGTGAGTGCCTCCAGCTTGGCAGTACCCCAGGCGTCTGCCAGGTCTGCGGTGTCTAATCCCAACAACGAAGCCTCGCCAGCTCCTGGTACTCACCAGCACCCAGCCAGTGACTTCATGCTTTTCTGGGCCACCTCGGGTCTGAATGGCCAGGTTGTCCCGATCACCAGGCAAGAGTTCTGTCCTGTGAAATCCATTATTGTCCTTTCTCACCTGCAAAAAAGAGGAAAATAGTCTCTGTTCTCCACCTGGAATCAACTTGGAAGTAGTCACATTTCTATAACTGCATAAGGGGTACACACAGACTTAACTGGATCAAACCCAGCAATTTTCACATTACCTTTTCCTGACTACTTAAGACATAAAATATAGATCCTCTTATTTCTCCCTGCCAATTTCCCTCTATATATTTTAAGTTATATAGCCTTATATTTTAAAAATTAATGTATTTTTCTAGATGCTTGGGGAATATACATCATACTATCCTGCCACTGGTTACCATCATTCACTCGGGCCTTGTAAATTCTGCTTCTCAGCGCTGGGCCTTCTCTTGCTTGCCAAGACATATTTGACTCTGACACAGTGTCACCCAGTGCTAGGTGGAGCCCAGGTCCAGTGGTTCTTCCTGCAACAGCCTCATCAATGAGAAATAGTAGGTTAAGCCCAGCCGGCATGGCTCAGGGGTTGAGCATCCAACTGATCCAAGAGACTGCAGTTCGATTCCCAGTCAGGGCACATACCCGGATTTTGGGCTCGATCCCCAGCAGGGGTGTGTAGGAGGCAGTCAGTCAATGATTCTTTCATTGATGTTTCTATCTCTCCCTCTCCCTTCCTCTCTTTGAAATAGTTATTTAAAATGGTTTTCAATAATGATGTATTCATTTGATTCAACAGCTGAAGTAGTACATCTTTGGTCTTTATTTACTGAATTCAGGATTCTTTAAGGGCTCTGTGTGTGAACAAAGCAGAAAAACACTGCGGCACAGAAATAGTCTTAGCAACTGAGCTGTTGCTCCTCGAATCACGCAGCTCTTAGTAATGAGCATTCGGTGCTAGTTAACCGGATCCACCATGTACAGAGAAAATGTTCTCAAGTGTTTTGATTGGAAAATGAATACTTACATTTAACAGAACTCATATTTTAATATATCGTAAGAAGTTAATACAACATGTAAAAAATATAAAACTTGTCAAGAATTTTTACATGGCAAACATCCCCTTATGTAAGGAGAGTTCTTTGTTTTTTTTTTAATAAATGTTTTCCAGGTGTTTTTTTTTTTTTGTTTGTTTTTTAACAAGATGAAGGCTGAGAAAAGTGGCTTCTAAGACAATTTTACATCTGTGCAATGGGCTGGAAATGCCTCACAGTCTGAACTTGGGAAATCTGTAGTGCAGGAAAAAATGTGGCATAGTCACTGCTCACCATAGAGGGCCAATTAGGGAGAGAGCCAGAGGCAGACCCAGGAAGTCATTTCAGCCCCTTCTCTGTTATTTTAGCTGCAACAAAATCTCCCAGAATCTAGCTATTGCAGATAAGCAGTAAGAAAAAGAGGAGTGCCATAAACAGTGCTGGAAAAACTGGGCAGCCACATGCAAAAGAATGAAACTGGACTCCTATCTTACTATGCCAAACAGGAAACTACCTTAACACCACACACAAAAATTAACTCAATGGAATAAAGACTTGAATGTAAGACCTGAAACCAAAAGATTCCTAGAAGAAAACAGGCAGAAAGTTCCTTGACATCAGTCTTGGTGATGATTTTCTGGGTTTGAAAAACAAAAACAAGTGGGACTACATCAAACTAAAAAGTTTCTACAGAGCAAAGAAAACCATCGACAAAATGAAAAGGCAATCTACTGAATGGGAGGGTTTGCAAATCCTATATCTGATGAGTTAGTATCCAAAATATATAAAGAACTCATACAACTCAATAGCCAAAAAACCCCAAAATGGATTAGAAAATGGGCAGAGGATGCACACTGTTGGTGGGAATGTAAATTGGTGCAGCCACTATGGAAAGCCCCTCAAACATGAAAGCCAATGAGCATGTAATCCAGCAGTCCCAGTTCTGCGTATGCACCTGAAGGAAAACGGCCACGATCTTGAAAAGATACCTGCATCCTTATATTCACTGCAGCATTATTTACACAGCCAGGACATGAAAGTGGCCTACATGTCAACTGGCAGACGAATGGGTGAAGAAAGCGTGGTATAAATATATGTGGGAGATTTAGCCATAGAAAGAAAGTCTTGCCATTTGCAACAGCATGGATGGACCTAGAGGGCATTACGCTAAGTGAAATAAATCAGACAGAGAAAGACAAATGCTGTATGATCTCAGTTATATGTAGAATCTAAAACATAAGAACAAAAACAAAAAAAGCCCCACGCTCAGATTGGTTGTTGCCAGAGGTGGGGGATAGGGGATGGAAAAATAAATGAAGGGAGCCAAAAGGTACAAACTTCCAGTTATAAATAAGTAGTGGGGGTGTAATGTACAGCATGGTGATGGTAGTTAGTGCTGTATTGCATGTTTGAAAGTTACTAAGAAAGATCTTAAAAGTTCTCATCTCAAGAAAAAAATTTTCGTAACTACATCAAGCGACAGATGTTAACTAGACTTAGTGTGGTGATTTCACAGTGTGTACAAATATCAAATTGTTATGTTGTACACCTGAAACTAACAATATTGTATGTTAATTATGCCTTAAATTAAAAAAAAACTTAAAAGTGCCAATAATTACAGAAGCAAGATAGATTCGTTTGATTCCTACAGGCTAATACATTTCAAGGGTTTACGAATTTCATGGAACTGTTAAAGGGCATTTATGCAGCTGGAACATGTGTTGTGCCTTTTTAATAAAGTTTCAGAAGAGTTTTATGCTGAAATAGAACATGTGTCTACTAAAACTTTCAGATCCCCAGCCACTGTAAACAAATAAAAGATAAAATGATTGTCTAGGAAAAGAAATATTTATAATACAGGAGAAGGGTCCATATCTTTAATGTACAAAAAGCCACAGGCCAATAATAACAAGAAACAATCCAACAGAAAAATGGATAAAGGATATGAACAGGCAATGTATAGAAAGTCCAAATATGAAAATATTCTCAATGTAGTCAAGGAAATAAAAGCAATAATGTGATGATACTTTCACCCATATTAACAAAATTAAAAATGGGGAATACTCAGTGCTGGAGAGGGTGCAGGGACATGACACCCATACCCTGCTGGAAAGTGTGAACTGCTACAGTCCACATGGAAAATAATCCCACAATGTCAAAACTAAAATCTTTTGACCTGTTCATGGAATTTTGGGGGAAATCTATCCTATTGCGTGGGTGGGGGGTGGGGCAGGCACACTTGTACATAGGATTTGTGTACTCGGATGTTTGGGGCAGCACTGTTTAATAATTATGGTTCACTCATATTTGGAATATTACATTATTATTGAGACCTGGAGGGACACCCATGGAGTATCAGGAAAAATAAGTTTCAGAGTTATATGGACACTATGTTGTCACCTCACTCCACATATGGGGGTTATATATTTGTATATGTTTGGGCATAAATAAGGGTATGAAAGACACAAACCAGGGTAGTTCACATGGATTATTTCAGGGAGCACAAGGAGGTAGGGGGTAGATTATGAACTCTTTCTTTATATATCTTTGGAGAGTTTCTCCTTAATATCACTACAACTTACCACTTGTAATAATAATAATAAAAAAGAATATTCTTAGAAGTTGTGAAAGCCCAAATCTGAAGAAATGGTCAGGCAGAAAAAAAGAGACTAGATAGGGAGCCTCTCAGTCTCAGAAACATCCAAGTGTTTGGGAGGAAGGAATTCTGGGTGTGTTTACCTTCCCTGTAAGCATCATCTCTAACCTGCTAGAGGGAAGGTAAATATGGCAACTTCAGTTCATCCCCCATTTCAAATATTGCCTTTGGAATCTTTATAGGCTAGGAGTTTGCTGGAAAAGTGTGGGGCTTGTTAAAATCATGTGATAACTACTGGTCGGGAAAGCACAGACTGCTCAGCAGCCTGTCACCTGAGGTGTTTCGGAGAGAAGGCCTGTCCTGCTAGTTGTGTTGCTGAGACTCCTTGAGCATGACAGACATGCTACCTTCTTTGAACCTCAGTTTAACAAGTGAGGATTCTAATACTCATGTATATCCGAAAAGCAGCTCTATGCTTAAAGTGGAGTTGGACCACGTGTGAATGTATAAGTATGTCTGAATTCTTAAGCTGGGTTACAAGGACAGTGGGGGGAAAACACATATCCTGTTTAATTATTTAAGCCGGGCCTTTTAAAGTGTTTTGACATGGCCCATAGTAAGGCATACATTTTGCACTGTGATGTGTAATATACGAAAGCAAAGTTATAGGAGACGATACTCTTACTAAATGTAATGCCTTCAGATATTTTCTGTGCTATTTTTTATTTTTAAGAAAATGCTGGTTTTGATCCCTTCATTACATTCAGGACTTGCTGCTAGATCTTGATCTGCAAATGAAAAACCTGCTTTACATCTTGCATGGGGCAAATTACACTATAAAGGTAGAAGAAAATCAGTAGAGCCTAGCAGCTGGGTTTTTGCTTGTTTCTGGCAAGTCTGTAGAAAGTTATTTTCCCCCGTCTCCCCCCAACTCCTTTCCTTCACTCCCAACTTTGTTGACAAGCCCTAGGGAAGCCCATGGGATCTGGTCCATACAATCCCAGAAGCTTAAAGGAAAAGACTCCCCAGGCAGATGTTTTGCCCTGGCGTGTGTGTAGGTAGCT